CCCTTGCGGAGCACAGGCTCCGGACGCGCAGGCTCAGTGGCCATGGCTCACGGGCCCAGCCGCTCCGCGGCATGTGGGATCTTCCCGGACCGGGGCACGAACCCGTGTCCCCTGCATCGGCAGGCGGACTCGCAACCACTGCGCCACCAGGGAAGCCCTGTATAATTCCATTTTTATTCAATGTTTTTAATAGGCAAATCCTTGGAGGCAGGACAGTAGATTAGTCATTGCCAGGGTCTGGGGAGAGAGTGGAATGGGGAGTGATTTCTAATGGGTATGACATTTCTTTTTGGAGTAATTAAAATGTCTTAAAATTGGATAGTGGTGATGATTGTACAGCTTTGTGAATATACTTTAAAAAAAACACTGAATTGAATACTTTAAAGAGGTGAATTTTATGGCATATGGATTTTTAAATGACTTGGAAGTTTTAAAATAATGAATTAAGCTTTTAGGACTACATAATTTTATACTTACCTATTGGTGTGTGGTATTCAATAATTTTTCACTAATGGTCTCCTCAATCTAAAAGATCTTAGAAAGAACTTTGGACATAAGACATGTACATCACCAATAATAAATAATTTCAGGGACTTACCTTGTGGTCCAGTGGTAAAGAATCCACCTTCCAATGCAGGGGACACCGGTTCGATCCCTAGTCTGGGAACTAAGGTCTCACACGCCGCAGGGCAACTAAGCCCGCACGCCACAACTATTGAGCTCACACGCCTCAAAGAGAGAGCCCGCGTGCCACAAACTACAGAGCCCAACGCCTTCTGGAACTCGCGCACCACAACTAGAGAGAGAAAACCCACACGCCGCAACCAGAGAGAAGCCCAAGCACTGCAACGAAGAGACCGCGCCTTAACGAAAAGATCCTGCAAGCCTCAACAAAGATTCCATGTGCCGCAACTAAGAGCCAACGCAGCTAAAAAATTAAGGAAAATAAATAAATATTAAAAAATAATAATAATAAATACTTTCAAAAGGTGTATCTAATTTTATCCAGGACATAGATTTACCAGAGTATTACCCTATCTCTGTTTTCTAACAGTTGAAAATTAAACTGATAGTGAATGAGTAAGGTTCTAAAAGATATATTGATTAAAAACAAAATCAGGAAAGCCATTCGGTAATAACAGTGGCTAGTAAAAATGCAAAGGTGAGGTTATAGGAGAATAAGAAGTCAGAACAAGCCTATTATTTAGTTTCTCAACCATAAAAGTGTCCTGAACTTATTATAAGGCATTTTCTTTGGCTCTGGACCCTTTTCCTGCCTCTGCCTATTCTGGGGAAAAATTGGATTTTAACATAAGAAGTAATTTCAATGTTAAGCCCTCTTATGAAAAGAGTTCCAAGTACCCTGGGAACAAGTCAAAATCACGCATCTCAGTGGGGAAAAT